AAGATTAAAATACAGATATGATAGAGAACTGAGTTAAAGGTCTGTTGCACTCAATTTAGAAGGGCAAAAGAGAAACAAACCCTCTCTAATCAAGGCATGGGTTTGACATTTCCTTCCTGTCTGGAAACCACAATCAAAATGTTTTTCCCACTAATTGGTGGTGGGCAATCAAGTGTGTAGTGATTTGATATCTTTCCATCCAATTAAGTGAATCTCATCCATTAGGTGAATCTCATTACCCATTATTTCACTTTCTCCATCAAACATTCCGAAAGGACTTGCCTTTATTTTTTAGGCCCCACAAAAGTACTTAACTTTAATCCAATCACTTTGTGGGCAATGGGCCTTCCATCTTATTAAACACCAACCAAAGCTCCATTATCAAAAATGTTATTACTTGAAATTACAATATGACTAGGATTTAGAACTTTTCAAAATATATCAAAATTGGGAAGAAAACACCCCTCGACTTCAACTTTTACATAAAAAGAAGTAACCCATTTGAGAGGCCATACAAAAACAAAAACTCTTAGTTAATGCATCTCTCCTAGAGTTGACTTCATTGTCACAACACAAGAAGAGGGTTGTACTCTTGTCAATAATCTCCAATCATGCCCATAACACAATCCACATAAGGAGGAAATCCAGTAATCCATTGGTCTTTAAGTTGGTTTTATTAGATTAAAAGATCCTAATTGATCCAAGACACAGGTGGAAAAAGAGAGGCAACTGAATCAAATCGAGCAAAATCCAAGTTTTTAGGATTGATTTTCTTACCTTCTTTCTTCCATTCTTCATTTCTTTGCCTAAAAAGAAGCATTAACTACGCTTTCCATTAAATTACACTCTCTGTTTGGTCTAAAATCCGAAGGAATGCTTTAAGCCCTCTAAAAGAAAAACTGCAAAAGGACAAGTTTTTAATTCCCCCTAACAGCTTATTAACAGCCTCTATTTACCTTTAGCTCTTGCGCGTGATTGAATCATGGTCAATTAGTCATAACCTCATCGGTGGTCCCATTGAATTTTGTTACTCATAATTGGCTTTTGAAGTTTAAACACTAAGGGCATGCCCCCTGTTTCCGCTTTAATCCGTTTGAGCTTCAGGGATAATTAGATATGGATAGGATTATCACTTATCTCTCCAACAGTTAGAAATAGTAACCAAGTGTGGGTTAGGATTAAAGCCTTGAAAGTAGTATTTAATTTAAAGATACCTAAAAATTAACAAAGAGACATAAATTATAAGTATGAAAAAAATAAAAAAAAGAATCTTTGTTTGTAATTCGTAGTGCACCACATGTAAAAAGACAAACATTAGATTAAGGGAGACTTAGTACAGTTTGGTGTATTAACTACACTACACAGAACAATTCTGTTATTGGAATAAATTTAATGCAAATTCAAATCTCAAAGTTAAGGTGAGTTAATGATATATTCACAATAAAAATGGAATGGAACAATGTAATCTCGAAATGGAGTGATCTTAGGAACACTGATTCTTAAATGCCTTTATTTTGTTTCTTAATTCTCACATTCCGGAGGCCTAAGTCTTACAACTAAGCATTTCCGCGAATTCACGCGCCGGGAATTTCTCCCTCTCACTACGCCGGAAATGGTAATGAATCTTTTTTTCAGTTAAAGTCTGTGACTTTGTTTCTTACACACTGTATTCATGGTTTCAGATTCCAAATTCTCATCCTTCCATTCCCTTTTCTTGCAGTTAATTGATAAGTAATAAGGGGTAGAGATTAAAGACTGCATCTATTCCATATTTTCTTCACGTTACCCAATCACCTTCCATAATCACTTCACTTTCTCTGAATTCACCCTTTAATTTCAGTCTAAGTTGTGAGTGAGGATAATTTCTTTCTTTGCCATTCTGGGGTTCTTGTTTTGTGTGGGGAAAAACTGAAGGAGCAGAGGGGTTGATAAAGAAGATGACTGTGGAGCAAGCAATTTGTGGACCTAGAGATCAGTTTCCCGTTGGCATGCGGGTTTTGGCTGTTGATGATAATCCCGTTTGTCTTATGGTGTTGAAGGCTATGCTTCGACGATGCCAGTATCAAGGTTTGTTTTTTATGTGGTTTTGGAGATGGGTTTTGTGTTTTTCTTCTTGTTGACATTGTTGATGATTCAGGGGCTTGGTTTTTAAAGCTCTTGGCTGCTTGTTATTTTTGCTTGGATTCTGCTCTTCATTTGGTAATTTATGATTTCGGTGATGTAAGATGTGGAGTCTCTCTGAACTGGGGACTTCATTGTATTGCATGTGAAATCTTGTGAGATCTTAAGAAAATATCAGCTGTATGAAAAATCTCGTGAAATCTTAAGCAAAAATCATTTCTTGATTTCTCTTTGCTTATCTGCCATGTTTCTGTTCAAGATTTATCCAGTATCATTTAACCAGTCCTCCTGGTTCTCCACTATTTTGGGATGTTTTTCAATTGTTTACTCTCTTTTTTCCCCTGAAATCTATTAGATAGATTGCATAAGAAATGTTAAATTCTTAAATTTATGCGGTTTACCACTACTATTTTTTTGTTAATATATGTTTGAGGGATCTTGAAGTATATCATAATTGATGGCCCTGAACAAATTTTTGGATCTTTTGCCAAATAATCCCAGTTAAGTTTTTGATTTACTATTTTTTTACTAACTCATACTGCTATGCTTCTGGATTTTGAAACTTGGAAGAAACCCTGTAGAATATAGTTGATTTAATGATTTTTTTTTTCCAATGCAGTCACCGCCACAAATCAGGCCATTACAGCACTGAAGTTGTTGAGAGAAAACAAGAACCAGTTTGATCTTGTAATCAGTGATGTCCAGATGCCAGACATGGATGGTTTTAAGTTGCTTGAGCTTGTTGGGCTTGAGATGGACCTGCCAGTCATAAGTAAGCTTGGAGAATTTTACACGGTTTTTTACTTTTAGGCATTTCCATCACATTTTAATGATTCAAACATACAATTGATAAAAAAATTGTATACCAGGTTTTATACTACAACCAGAACTTCAAAGAAATTCGATTTTTTGCCATTTCCAGATTTTAACATTTTCACAGCCTTCAATATGTTAGAAAAGGTGATACTTTTAGGAATTCCGGATTGCTTTTAGTAATTTGAAAATACAAAATTGAAATGAAAGCTGAGTTCTGGGACCTAGCTTGTTCTTATCATTCATGATAAGATTGTAGCAAAATATTGGCTGCATCTACTTATTAGACTGGATCTTAGTTTTAACCGTGGAATAATGAAATGTCTGTAGTGTTATCCATAAATGGTGATCCCAAGCTTGTAATGAAGGGAATAACTCATGGAGCTTGTTATTATTTGCTGAAACCTGTCCGAATTGAGGAACTAAAGACCATATGGCAACATGTAGTAAGGAGAAAGAAATTTGATGGGAAGGACCAGAATGCTTCTAATAGTCAAGAGAAGACTTGTGATGGACATAATGAGGTAGCAGGAGTGGGAAATGCTGATCAGAGTACAAAGAATAACAAAAAACGGAAGGACCAGGATGAAGATGAGGATGAGGAGCCCGATGAGAATGGAAATGATAATGAGGATCCATCAACCCAAAAGAAGCCTCGTGTTGTTTGGACAGTGGACTTGCATCGCAAGTTTGTTGGAGCTGTTAATCAGTTGGGCGTTGACAGTATGTTCTTGAACTGCTCACCACTAGCAACATAATTTTATAATTTATACTTTTCATCAGTTGAAAGCTGCTTATTTTTATTTATAATTTATTTTTCTGCTAACTAATCATGACTATTTGATTAGTGGAGATAATTTTTGTACTATTAATTTCACCAATTTTATATCCCTCATGTTTGTAATTGATGTTCCATTGTTCAATTTTTGGGGTAAAAATGTATTCTTGCT